ACTGAAACCTCCACAAACTGTAAGTGAAATAAACCTTTCCTTCCCTAATTTTGGGCATCAGGTATTTTGTCCCAGCAACGAGAGAAAAAGTAACCAAGACAAGCCACAAAAATCTCTACCCAAATATGATCTACAACTTAGGTCTTCAAATATCCATGTTAAGTATCATCCATTTTCCCAACTTCAGCTTTTACAGTTAAAGTACCTAGCCTCCCTTGCTGCTATCCTCCCTTCTCTCTTGTAAGGAGACAGACAGACCACATTCAGTGTATAAAGGAAGTTCCCCCTGCCCCCAGACACACACATCTGCTTTCCACACAATCGCCCTTTCCTGCCATGCAGAGGAGCTTCGCACTTGGGACACAATATGCTTGCACTGCCTTGACCACACGTCCTGGGAATCCCAATGCAAGCGAGTAACAGGTCAAGTAGCTAATTTTTTTAAAGTAGAGATGTTGATTCATAATCTGCTCATGAATTCTTCCCATTGCCAAGATTAATCTGAAACATTCTGCTCTGTTCCTTGTATAGGTTAAATTCTGCCCACCCCGTGAAGGTTCTATTCAAGCCCTACCTCATCAGCACATACTCATTAACGCACTCAGACAATTTAAACTTTCTCCTCTGTGAATGTATGACCTCTTGTAGTAAGGACAACACTGTAGAAGTTTGAGCCATCTCAACCAGGGTAAATGCTCCTCAACCTCAGACTGTGCTGCCTTGAATAATGCCTTCCCCAAAACTCACGTCCATCTGGAACCGCAGCATGACCTTATTTGGAAGTGGGGTTTTGCAGATATATTTAGTTAAGATGAAATCATACTGGATTAGGGTGGGCCCTACTCCAGTGACTCGTCATAAGAAGGCAGGCCCAGATACACAGGGGAAGACAGCCACACAAGGACAGAGACAGAGCTATGCTGCCGCAGGCCAAGGCCCGTCAAGAGCACGAGCAGTCATCAGAAGCTAGAAAAGGCAAGAGAGCATTCTTTCCCAGAGCCAATGGAAGGAGCATGGCTCTGCCCACACCTTGGTTTCTGACTCTCCGCCTCCACGACTGTGAGCAATTTCTGTTGTCTTAAGCCATCCAGCTTGTGGTGGTTTGTTACAGCAGTGCTAGGAAAGTATTACATGATCAATGTTTTATATAGATTAATCAGCCTTAATCTGAAATCCAAAATCCAAAACATATTGTGCACCAACATGGCATCACAAGTGGGAAATTCCTCATGTTATGGGTCTCAGTCAGAACTTGCCCTGAAAATATTTTACAAAACTACCTTCAGGCTTGTGTATAAAGTGTGCATGAAATGTAAATTAATTTTTGTGTCAACCCTGGGTCCAATCTTAAATATGTCTCACCATGTAAACCAAGTGTTCTACAATTTTAAAAAAATATGAGGTTCTGGTCCTGCGTATTCTGCATAAAAGATACTCAGCCTATACTTGTATTCGTTCAGGTTTCACAGAGTTATGAGCCCATGGTTAGAGATACATAATCAATACTTGCTTACTAACAGGACATTCTATAATGATTATGCAAATCAAGGATTACAGTCTGCATACCATAAGTAAGAGCTAGTCTTTGAGTACAGACAATGGAGCATTTTTAAGAAATCTGTAAAGCAGAAGAGCTGTACTGTGGTATTTTTCCAGTATCACAGATAAATTCAAGTCCAAGAGGTAGACAAGGGCAGGAGTTTTTATAGATGTCTTTATTTGAGGTAGTAATTACTGTATCAAATATATTTTCTATTCAAAAGTATCTTCTTTCATCTACATGTTATTATTTACTCCTTTATTGAATGGAACCCACAGGATTATAAGCAGCGGTCAAAATTTTTTTTAACAGTCATTGTTGCTCTGAGGCTTCAGTATGTTAAGTTGATCGCTAATTTCTGTAACCATATTTTTTTATCATACATTATTTCAGATTAAGGAGCATGCCCAGGCAATGACATTCTAAGTAATACATTTTGGGAAGTTGACCTTATTAATTATTTTTGCTTCTTCTGATGAAATGCTTTGGAGTGAAAATAATAGAAAAAGTGATTCAAAATGGTCTAAACAAGAAACTATTTTCTCATACAAGAAGTTCTTCATCTGGGACTCAGAAATGGTCCGCCCAGCCAATTAGTGATCTCAGCAAGCACTATGGGCTTTGTCTTTCCTATTTGTCTTTCTTGGCATATTTTGTGTCTTTTATCATTACTGCAACAGCACCAGACATCACAACCACATGTGACAATTCTACCAGAAAAATATTTTCTCCCGTCTATCTCTCAAGGTCAGGGTAGCAGACTTTCACAGAAGTCTCCTGTTCAATTCTCCTCATATCTCTTTGATCAAAATTATGTCACACTTCCATGCTTAACCCAACCATTGACAAGGAATAATAAGCCACCCCAACTAGATCTCCCATGATCTGATTTCTTCATTAGAACTAGGGAAGTAGCCCTTCAGAATCTAAGATTCACACCCCATGACAGTGGGGAGGAAAAACTCAAACTGAGAGTAGCCCCTGAACAGCCACCCATGCCCTCTTCCACTCCAACAGGACCGCAGCTTTGTACAGAGTAGGGACATGTTCAGCCCCAATGTGTGTGAACCATGATTACCTAGGTCACTCTTAGAAATCCAATCCTTTCTTTTCAAACACAAGCTGAGTGTCCCTAATCCAAAATCCCAAATTAGAAATGCTTCCAGAATGTGGCTGAAACAACCCTACAGTGGAAAGTTCCACCTCACATGGACAAACACTGCAAGAAATATGAAATCCAAAACACGCTAGGTCCCAAGCATTCAGATGAGGGGCACCAACTTGTATTGGCCTTTTTAGATTCATACACTGTATTATGAATTGCTACAGAATTCAGTCCTGATCACTGGGATACACATGAAATTCTTTTGGGGCTTTTTTATCGCTATATCGATCCGTCCATAGATAGATGGAGACAAAAAACAACAAACAAGCCTAACTTTCCCTCCTAAAACAAACATGGATAGATAGATAGATAGATAGATAGATAGATAGATAGATAGATAATAGATAGATAG